GCGGCAGCAACAATACTACAGCGAGAATAAAAGTTACGCCTTCTTTCTTTGCGTGAACATTTGGGCGGCATTATGTAAATCTTCCCACATCGTCACGTAGACATGTCGGGGCGTGTTAGAATGAGCCGTTTTAGGTAGGCGTGGTTAACTCTTAACTTTTATAAAGAATATCTCTTTGGATTTGAGACTTTAGTCTTTGCAACTTTACAGATCTTCTTTAAGCACCAAGAGCTTGTAACACTCCAAAGAGAAAGGGAAAATAGAAAATCGCATCATATGACCCCTTTAAACTTATTTCATATTTTCTCTAAACCTTCTTGGATATTAAGACAATTCTGGCAATTCTGGCCATATTAAAGATACGTTGTGTGTGTGAATTTGCACATGTTATAATGTAAGCATCATTAATGACCCCTTGTGTTTAATTAAAAAAAAAAAGAAAAAGAAAAGAAAAAAAGGATTGATTAGTGAAATGAAAGAATGATTTAATAAAAAATCTGAATGATTAGTAATTGTCTCTAATTGGCCTGTTTAGCTAAGCCCTCAAAACACTTCCTATTTAGTGGTACAGTATTGCATGATTTGTAGATTATATTTAATAGTTTACACTTTGCACAAACATTTGCAATTAGTTTTTAAAAGATAACATTACATTCTCTACGCCGCTTACATTTCTTTTCAAGAGCACTTGTGCTCCTACTTAAAAAAATAAATAAATAGGAACACCTTCTGATGAATGACATAAATTAACCTTCCTATTATAAGGCGATATTTGACTCCTTAAAAGTTTTTTTTTTTTTTTTAAACCTTTGTAATGCCTCTAACTTTATTAAATGTACAACATCTTTTGTGCCAAAAAAATGTTGAATTATAAACTTATCAAAAATTTTAATTAAACAATAAATTCAATTAAAATAATAAGATACAATCAGGAAGAATAAGTTCAAGCAAACAGCGCTGTGTTTGCTTGGAGATGCGCAGCAGCTCAGCTGTGATTTGTTTGGAATTATTTTAGTTGAGGAAATAGAGCATAATCAGACAACAGTGTTCCTAAAATGTAAGTCACTAAAAATTAACTCATGCATAAAACACAGATTCATTAATAAACGAAACAGCGCTGTGTTTGCTTGGAGATGCGCAGTGGCTCAGCTGAGATTTGTTTGGAATTACTTTAGTTAAGGAAATAGAGCATAATCAGACAACAGTGTTCCTAAAATGTAAGTCACTAAAAATTAACACATGCATAAAATCTAAAATGTATAAAAATGTTGTATAAATTAAATTTCACATTTGCAAACTCCCTTTATAATCATTAAAATTCTCTCATTCATCTTAGTCCATTTTAATTAATGAAGCTCTCTACACTGCACACTGAATCTAGCCTATTATTTGCATCGTTTTACACTTTCTTTGTTATAATGAATGGCAAAAACTGCAGTCTGCTTTCAATATAATATTTTATATATAAAGCTTTACAGCTATACGATTTGTCCATATTGGTTTTACTTTATTATACAGTTTTTACATTCAGGCAGTCTGATCATATATATTGCATATGCAATTTATGCAGCTAAACAGTATAATTTTATTCAGAAATGTCCCTTGCAAATGCTTAACTAATCCATATGTTCATTGCTTGGCAATCCACTAATAGTGGGTAGTAAAATATGAAGCATCCAGCTGGGATCCATTAAGACACAGCCATCATGACCAGCTGAATATTAAAGGTGAAGTATTTCTGTGCCACTTTGTCAACAAACAGAATTATAAAAGGATTCCTAAACACTCCCCGGTCTGCCATTGGTCATCCAAACAGATAGTTCCTCCTGTAACATACATCGTTGGTTGAATCAATGCAGTTGGTCGGCAATTAGACAATTGGGTTCCATTAAAAACCTATTTATTTGCTCCATAGAGGAACTGATTTTTAATGATAATTTATAAACCATTAAGACAGACCGACTGGGAGCTATTAAGTTGTTAATCAATGGTATAAGCCATCAATCCACATTATTCGAACTTTTTAAATAATTATGTTTTACAACAATTCCAGGTGAAAAACTAATGCACCCATAATTCTGCAGAGAAAACTGCCACCAATCAGAGAATTGCAACAAGCAAATCCTGCCAAAATACCATTGGTAATGCCACATCTGACCAATAAGAAGCAAACACTCTATAGAGCTGTTTAGGAAGGAACTCATCTACAATGAAGCAGCCTCAAGACCAGACAGTTTAAAAGGCTGAACATTAACATGTTAAATTACAATAATAGATCCAATCAGAGAACAAAAGAATAGATTATGAACAATACATTGGTGATGAAATATTAGCTCATATGAAGAAAACAGCAACTTACCCTGTACCAAACAATCTCTCGCAATCTTCCATCTGTCTTGAAGTTGCACTTTAGAGTCTATCTACACTGCACACTGAATTTATTATTTACATCGTCTCTACACTTATAATGAATGACAAAAACTGCAGTCAGCTTTCACGATCTGTGCTGTGAGGAGCAGCACGCGCACCGATAGAGAAGCATTTCCATTGGCTGCAGTCTGCAGGTATTCTGGCCAATCACAAAAGACGGCAGTGGGCAGCAAACCATAGACACAAATATCCCTTTACGTTTTTAGTCTATATCGCGCTAGGTTTATGTGCAGAACTGGGATTGCTTTCGTAGACTTTTGAATAAATAAATTGAATACATTTCCAAATAAACCTAACCAGTTGGAAATGAAATGCCGTCCCCCTAATGAAGCAGCCTCAAGACCAGACAGTTTAAAAGGCTGAACATTAACATGTTAAATTACAATAATAGATCCAATCAGAGAACAAAAGAATAGATTATGAACAATACATTGGTGATGAAATATTAGCTCATATGAAGAAAACAGCAACTTACCCTGTACCAAACAATCTCTCGCAATCTTCCATCTGTCTTGAAGTTGCACTTTAGAGTCACTGTATCTCCCACAACAACTGGTAGCAATGGCTCTATCGTTACCGTCAGATATCCTGCAGAGGCAAAGAAAGACATCACTGGAACATGTTCATTTTCACACATTAAAAAAAAGAGCTAAACGGCCAGATGGTGATGGGCACATGAAGAGCAGGTTGAAAAGCTTAACATAAACCAGACCACTTCATGATATAATTAATCATATTATTCAGAATTATTACAGAAATGAATTGAAACTAATTGACAAAATAGACAACGATGAACACATCACTGAAAAAATGGTAATCTAAAACTGATAGCATCTAAGTAAACTGGTTTTATTAAAGTCGAAAATATTATGCAATAGCACTGAATTAACTTTAATACATTAATTTATACCAACAATCTATTTTTATGGGTTAAATCAGATATAAATACCACTTTGCATGTTGCTATTTTTATTGCAGTACTTTGCAAAAAAGTATGATTGCTTAACATCATAACATTGCATCCACTTTTGAGACGTACCTTCAGTTTTAGATAAAATTGCACATTAAATTGCAAGATTTGCATTTGTTGAAAAAAGTAAACTAAAATGAGTGTTGTGTTTATAAAATTACGTAAATTATATGAAGTGTTCAAATCTACAGAACTAAAGTTAGGTTCTTTTGTGCTAATTTTGTGTAATCAGACATTAAATGAGAATTCATATTATGTATTATCTTCTAATATTTTTCTAATAAGTTATGAAAAAAAAAGATACGAAGCAATACAAACTCTGACATAACTGATTGGTTCTTCAAGGAATCTGCACTTCCCTAGTATCAAACAGGCAAAATAATTAAAAATGCAGAAGTTTTCAAAATTAATAAAAAAAATTACAATGTGTCAAAGTTTTTCTTTCATTCTTGAACTCAGATCTTCTCAATAGCACATTGTGCACACACAGACGTATGAAGGAGAGCTTCTTTTGCTCCATTAATTACACTTAAGCCATGGACACTTTGCCATCTGCTTAATTTTGTCTCCAAATCAGCTTGGCTATGGTAGTCCCACCCCGCAAATAAACTGACGCTTCACTAATTCCTTCTAACCACAGCTATAACACACAATTAGCCAGCAACTTCATGTAAAGGCTTTTGAGGACATACATGTCATCATGGCATATGGTTGACTTTTATACGCACATTATTTGACCTTCTGAATTTGCAAAAATAGCTATGTTCTTGTCTTTCTATACTAACAAAGTTCTGTGTCATTTCAAAATAATTTTATGGAAAACAAATAATTCTGGATCTCTGCACCTAATTCACATATGCAGATAATTCCTGATCAACAAAATACTCCCGGTTTAGGGAGTTAATGAGCATAATTACTAAGTTGATCACATTTCCGACACACTGAAAACACATTTATCAAAATGCTTAGGTACAGACATGAATCACAAGTGGAAGGGCTCTTGCCTCTTAAGGATAAAGATGGGAATGTCCTGCTCTAGTGAGCACTCTCTCTATCTGCCTAGCATGTGGCCTGGATCCTACTGACTGCACAGTCTATCCATCTAACCAGTCGATACTCCTCTTATCACAGACAGTGAAAGAGGAGGGAGAGCCAGAACATAAATGTGAGAAAACTTCATTTGATTGTTTATTGCACTATATTTGTTTGCATTTATACCGAACCCCAGTATGCTTTCAATCCTCATTAAAGGAGCTAATGATAACTGCAGATGTTTCATGTTCATCTGGAACATCACTTCATAAGGAGATATCCAATCTTGCATGCCAGTGCATGCTGGGAAATTAAGTCCCTCATAGTGGGGGACAAACTAAAATAAAACTCCTCAGTGCTCCCTGCCAATCACCTCATTTACCTTAAGAGATAAAACATTTAATTGAAGACTGTAGACTACAGCAGATTTATTGAATTTTGATGAGAAATAAGAAACATGGGGATTTGAAAGCTCTCTAGGGGAGTGATTGTTACCTGGAGAATGAAACACTATAATAGCCAAATCTGTATTCATTGCCATATTCAGTGGAAAATCTGACAGTTGATGTGTCCGTGTGATTACAGCCTTGACGCGCTATTTTACAATAAAATATTTTTACATTTGGATCATATTTACATTCAACCTAATAGAGATGTCACATTAGATATTACTCTTCATTTCAACAATGCAGTAATACAATTCCAGGACCATGGACAGCAACACACGAGAATTTCCTCAAGATCCCACAGCGCTTTTAGAACAACATTGCTTCTAAAACCCATTTACTGTTTTAAGTCTCCCAATGAATTATGCATTGTGCCCAGAACAACAATTGTTGTCAAGTGCTCAAACAAGAACATGAGCATGAATCATGCCTCAGAATACTCTAGGAACAAAAAAAAATCAAAGAAAAAAATAAATGATTCGCCGGACCAATTCTGCGCTTTTCAATAATCTGTCCATCTTGAGGTCTCAATTAGCTCTTGTCAGACAAAACAACTCAATTGCTCACCGCATCGGCCAAGGCCTTATCACTGTGTCAGACTGACAGAATTGACTTGGCAATTCTGTACATTTATCTCAGTGGAAAACAGAGCAGCTCACTCTAAGCCTCAAGGGAAATAAGGGAGCAAGGATAAGAACAAATTCCAGCAGATCTGCGACCTCACTTGGTTTCAAAATTCCCATACTGTGATGGAGCCTGAACCCAAAGAAATCACTTTCTCCCAAACTTTGCCTTCTAGAAATTGAGCTGGTTCCTGGGTCCTAAAGCAAGAGCACAGCTCGATCGCTGAGCACACGATGTATGTGTTAAATGAACTATATGGACACAGACAGATGGACTTTTCTTTTAAAGGAATAGTTCACCAAAAAAAAAAAAATTGCTGAAAATGTATTCAACTTCAGTTCATCCAAGTTTGTTACTTTATCAGAACAGATTTGGAGACATTTAACTTTACATCACTTGCTCACTAATGAATCTGCTGCAGTGAATGGGTGCCATCAGAATGAGAATCCAAACAGCTGATAAAAACAGTAATTTACAAGGAATCCACAAAACTCCAGTCCATCAATTAATGTCTTGTGAAGTGAAAAGCACCCATTCACTGCAGAGGTTCCTTAGATCCACCGAATGCTAAGTTTCCCCAAACTCATTTACATCTTGAATGGCCTGAGGGTGAGTACATTTTCAGCAAATATTCATTTTTGGGTGAACTATTCCTTTAAATTATGAAGACGGGTTCAGATCAGTTTTCTGTCAATAAGAGTCAATCCGAACTGGTACATTCCTACAGTAAGGTGGTCTGCCAATGCAACATGTGAAGCATTTTCTCTGAGATCTAGCTTCACCTCGATGTGCTTGTTAAAGAATCTTAATTTAATCATCACGCTCGAAGGATCTTTATGCTGGAGGAGATTTGAATGGATAAGCCTTGAGGGTCATTAAAAGGAGCTGAAGCTCTCAAATAAAATCCCTTCCACTTAGCACCCATACGTCCATAAAGAGCCTTGAAAGTCTGGAGAAATTGGCGCAAGTCAAGCGTATGTTCATATATGGTATTTGTATTTAAATGTCGAATCATTTAGTAGGCTAAAAAAAAAAAGATAATCAAAGAGCTAGAAAATCATCACTTAAAGCACTTAAAGTACTTAGAGCAGATGGAACACTTTATTCTAGCTGGAATAGATTTACTTTGGGTGTATGTGCGTATATATACAGTGTATTAATGTGTGTGTGTGTGTGCATA